CTTTCCACCTTATTTTTTTAGACTGGGTCTCTCACTGAACCTGGAACTACCAATTGGCTAGGCTGGCCGGCAAGCTCCAGGGATCCATCCTCCTATTTCTGCCCTCTGCCCCAGCTCTGAGGTTACAGCACTCAGTATTTTTAAAATGGGTGCTGGGGTTCTGATCTTGGGTCCTCATGCATATGTGGCCGGCACTTTTACTGATTGAGCTATCTCTCCCAAGCCATGATTATACTTTTTAAAATGTGAAAATCTACCAGGTGTGGTGGTACATGCCTTTAATCCCAGCACTCAGGAGGCAGAGACAGGGTTGAGGCCAGCCTGGTCTACATAGTGAGTTTCAGGCCAGCCTGATCTAGGTAGCAAGTTCCGGGCCAGCTGGGGCTAAGGGAGACCCTGTCTCAAAAAAAAAAAAAAAAAAAAAAGAAAGAAAAGAAAATCTCTATCATATTTCAAAATATCAGCAGACAAGAGCAGCTCAACTCCTGCACAGTGGAGCCAAGATTTCAAAGCCTGGGTAAATGCCAATATATTTGAATTCCGTCACACACCCTAAACTAATACCCTGAATTCCACTTACCAGTCCTCCAGATCTGCAGTTACTCTTCATTCTGTGAGGAGAAATCTGGAGGCATGGGGTTGAAATGCAAACAGAAGAGATTTATTACAGTAATTTACAGTAACCATAACACATAAATCTAAGGAGCCATTGGTGAAGACTGTGCAGCATTTTTGGGAAAGTTAAAGCAATTAGCTGGTGAGCGTTGCATGTGTTAATGGTTTGCAAAGCTCTGGGCTACAATAAGAAAAGACTCTGGAACTCAAAATGATCAAATGAAATTCTTTTTTTCCCTCTTTCCACCTTAAATGAGAAGAAAACCGCTCGTTGGTGCTGGCACATCTTTAACACGTCTGTTCTACTTAGTAATCTCACTTTTCAACAGAAGGAAGCAGGACTTGAGAGATCTGACAGTCTAGAAGGCATGGGTGATAGAATTGAATAATATTTCTTTGACATAATTTTATTAATTTTTCAGTGATCTTCAATGTAGAGTGAGTGAGGCTATTTATTAGTTTCTATGGTGATTTGGAGATTTGCCTCCATGAAATAGGCATCCCTGGGAGTGAGAAATGCAGACTCCAGGCTCTGCTCAGGGTTTCCTGCATCACAACCGCCGTTTTCACATGAGTTTTGGTGATGCTGATGTCCATTAATGTGTCAGAATGGAGTGATCCACAAAATTTGAAAGAAAGCTACCTCCCAGTTCAGAAGTCTTAAGTCAATGGGCTGGCAGAGGTGACTGCATTAACACAGCTGAGAACATGCTGTGTGTGTGCAGCTGGCTCTGGCTCTCACAGGCCACATGTCATGAGAAAATTATTCCATCTCTGTGTGCCCCATTCTCTTGTGTCAAATGAGGATAATAGCATTTGCTTCACAAGGTTGTAAAATGAAATGAGAAAATGAACTTAAAGCTATCCATGATGCTTGGCGTAGAGAACCTAATACATTAATTAGTCACAGTTACAGTAGTAGTATTCAACTCTTGGTGGTTTTCACAAACTCGTTAGCTATTCTTACTTTTTTGTGGTACTGAGAATCGAACCCAGGACTCAGCACATCCTAGGCAAGTGCTTTACTATTGAGCTACAACCCCGGCTGTATATAAAAACATATATGAAAAAGCAAGATGGCTCAGCAGATAAACATATTTCCCAACAATCTAATCACCCAAGTTCAATCACTAGAATTCACAAGGGGGAAGATGAGAACTGTTTCCCACAAGTTGTTTTCTAACCTCAACATGTGTACCATGGTAAGTGAGGACACAAACACACATAAGTGAGTGTAAAAAAATTAAGTAAAATTGGGTCCAGTGAGATGGCTCAGCAGACACAGGCACCTGCTGCCAAGCCTGATGACCTGAGTTCGATCCCCAGAACCCACATGGTGGAAGGAGAGAACCGAGACCGACAAGATCCTCTGATCTCCACACTTGCACCCTAGCGCTTACACACACACACACACACACACACACACACACACACACACACACTTTATGCTTTTAAGCTTCTAAAAGCTTCCATGTGCATAGTCTGTTGGAAGCCTGGTGGCCCTGGGGTAATTATCGCTCACTGTCACCTGCATTCTATGACAGGGGACAGAGGCTCTAGGAGGCAAAATACAGCCTAGGCACACACAGCCATTGACTGACCAGTCAGATCTGCCCTGTACTTGTTTTCACTCAGCTGTTTCCCAGCCCTAAGTGGTTGTTCTGTGAAGTTAGTTTCGGCCTCTGCACAGCAAGAATGAGTGATCCTGCTACTGAGATAGGAGCTTCTTGACTCGGGGCTTCTCAGCCAGACAGTTGCATTGGGCTATTTTTGGAGGCTCCCATAAATATTCATATGCAAAACAGGGATCTTTCAGAAAGCTAGTAACCTAGGAGAGAAAACATGGGTCTCCCCTCACACACCTGCATTATTGCCTCGGAGACACCCATCAAACTGCACTGATAAAAATGAGGGTGATCTCTCACTTAGTCATTCCCCCAGCAGAGGATCAGCAGGTCTTCTGAAGGCATGAGGTTGGGGGAGACTCAGAACCCAACCACCTTGCTCTGCGACTACACTGGTTTGAATAATATGAGAGGGACTGGGGTCACCAAGATGGCTCAGCAGGTAAAGGTGCTTGCTGCCAGGCCTGCTGACCTGAGCTCAATCCCTGGAACCCACGTGGTGGAAGAGAGAACTGACTCCCACAGGTTGCCCCTTGACCTCCACACAGGCTGTGGCATGCATGTGCCCACACCCATATGCCACCCTCCACACAAATAAATAAACATAATTTTTTTACAAGAGGAAAGAAAAACTATCAGATTATAGTTTTTATATATCTATATATAGTTATATATAGATCTCTATATAGATCAAAACAGAAAACTCCTTGTTTTAGGAAGGTGTAGGGCAATTAGCACTGTCTTCCAGTGTTGAAAGGAGTTGCGAGTTCTCTGAAGGATAGTTTATCAATATCCTTCAGCATTTCTAGTGAGCATGTGGGCACACACATGCAAACTTAGGGGGCTAAGGCAGGAAGATTGAGAGTTCTAGGCCAGCTTGGGGTACATATCAAGAACTTATCTTCACATGTATGCATACATACATAGTTTCACTAAAGGAATTAGTCATCAGAGACACCCTCTTGTATGGAAAATGAAGTGTATAAGGTTGTTCGTTGCACCATTGTTTGTAATAGGGAAAAATCTGGAAACAATCTATGTGTCTATATCAGGGACTTCGAAATAAATTATAATACCTTGTGGGAATGACTTAACCTTTACCTTGCAACCAAAATTAATCTTACGTTTTGAGGTCATTTGGCACTATCTCAGCTTGTTTATAATGTAAACAAGCTCACTAGGCCTTAGGTTCCTCTTGTAATCTAAACATGTAACTTTAATCCCTCCCTAAACATATAACTTTAATCCTTTCCTTTCCCTTGATCCAGAATAACATATGTGTGTAGTTGTGAATATCAAGCACTAAAAACAGTGAATATTCATGGACAACAATGAATTATCCCATTTTGTTGCAAACAGCAGGTGGGATTAGATTAATAACATCTCTTCTTGGTTGTATGTGCTGTTCTAGGTCAGTAGGGGTCAGAAGAAGAAAAATCCTCTGGCAAAACAATTTCTTCTTTTTCCATGTGAGACTGAATGCGTGGTTTCAATAAAGAGAGAGCAAGCCCTTTGTTTAAGAGCATAGTTCTGAGCGAAATCTGAAGGAACAGGTTCTCAGAATAGTTAGGGTCCCACTATTGACTGTTACGGATCCTAGGAATCAGGGTGTTTTTGTTCAGGCTTTGCAGTAATGTGGTATTGTACATCCACAATACCTCCAAACAAGGCAGTGCTATGCAGCTGCTGAAAAGACTGTAATCAATTGCTATATACTAGCATAGAATAATTTCTAAGATATATTAAGTACTATACCACAGCAAGAGATAGCAGCAATTCATATTTACCTCACATATGTGTCCACATAATGATGTTTCAGTTAGTGATAGTTCAAATATACGATGTAGGTCTGATACATAAGATTCTATCACCTGGAACTGGTAGCCACCTTAGCTTGTGTAAACGTAACATCCGTGATATACACACAGCAGCAAAATACCTTTGCATTTCTCAGATGGTATCCTCATCATTGATCAGTACATGAACCATTGCAGAAAGGAGGCATAAGAAATTGGAAACATGGGGCTGGAGAGATGGCTCAATGGTTAGCAGCACTGGCTACTCTTGCAGAGAACGCAGGTTTTGTTCCCAGCACCCACATGGTGGTTAACAACCATCTATAACTTTAGTTCCAAGGGCTCCAACACCCTCTCCTGGTCTCCACAGGCACTCGGCATGCATGTGGTACGCTTACATACACATATATGTGGCACATTTATATGCAAGCAAAACACTCATACACATAAAATAAAACCTTAAAATATCTAGAAACAGAAAAACTGTATAATTAGAGCACAGGGACAAAAGAAGACATTCTACTAGTCTTAGTCTTAGTCTCTCTCTCTCTCTCTCTCTCTCTCTCTCTCTCTCTGTCTCTCTCGCGCACACACGCGCATGCGTGTGTGTGTGTGTGTGTGTGTGTGTGTGTGTGTGTGCGCACACGCATGCCCAAGGCTTGTATATACTAAGCATATGTGTTCTCCAGCTAAGGATTGAACCCAGGGTCTTGTGTATGCTAAGTAAGCTCTATACCTCTAAACTACAGCCTTAGCCACATCTTTAGTAAATCTTTTGAATGGTATTTTATTTGTAGGCATTATAGGTTCAAAGCAAGTTTTTGTATATAAATTGGTTAACAGGTTTATAGAAAGAACATTTTTTTTAATCTGACTAGGAGGCAATCAATTAGAAAAGCTGAGGAGGAAGGGTGGGTTCAAGCTCATAACTCATTCCAACTCACCTTGAGACCTGACTCTCCACAGCAACAGACAGAAGTAGCCCAAGTGTCCCAGACCCAAGAAGAGAAGCTGGCTGCTGCCCTTGGGGTAGAATTGCACAATACTTCATGCCAAGTCCAGAGCCTCCAGGCCGAGATGGAATCCTTAAGGGCTCTGGTGAGTGAGCCAAGAAAGGCTCCCAAAGCATTTATATTTAACTCTTGATGTTTAATTTGTAGTCTCACAGGTCCTAGTTTGCAAAGGGCTCCCTTCTCACAAGATATGGTTTGGGAGGCCTGAAGTGTCTTTTGACTCCCTAGGATCATCAGATACTGAATCATGACTAATAAGTGCAGCACACTCTAGTGCCCTATGGAAATATTCCTCACACAGTCACTGCTGGGAATTTTGGCCGCTAATGCACACAGCTGCCCCTTCTCAGCTGCCCTGCTTCCCCTGAGAATCTCCATCAGTCAAATAAGACTTCTGACCCAGGTTGTGCCCCTGACTCAGACAATGACACACCAGCAGGGCTTTGGAAGACTAGCTCACTAGCTTCAAAGTAGAGCCAGCTATACAGAGCTCACTGTTGGATCCAACTGCAGCCAGGTTCCAGAGCAACCACATCCTCTCTTAGCACCTTCCCCTGTCCTGGCTCTCCACATGCCTTTTTCCTCAGAACAGTCCCTTAATCATGAATAAGCTCCGGGGTCTTTGTCTAAATCTTTGTCTCTGAAGAACTTGACCTAAGACACCTAGTAAGCTCTTCAAACTCGCTGTGATTTATGTGCAGGTGCCTTCAATTGCTAATTATATTAATTAAAGTAATTACACTCCACCCTCTGTATCCATGGATTCCCCATCTGTGGATTCAATCAATCTTGGACTGACAAATATTCAGAAAAATATTGTACCTGTTCTGACTGAATATGTGCAGCTTTTATTTCTCATCATTAGTTATTATTCCCTAAACAATATGATGTAAGTATCTACATAGCTTCACATTGTATTAGGTATAAGTCATCTACAGATACTTTAAGAGTTTTAAAGAAATATGCAGGAGGATTGCATAAGTTATATGTATATACTATGTCATTTTCTGTAAGAGACTGGTTCTATACATTTAGGTATCCACAGGCATCCTGGACCCAATCCTGCACAGACTCCAAAGGATGACAGTATTAATGTAGCCAGCTACTCTCTGATCTCTGGATGGACTGAAGCTGCGTTAGAATGTCAAGCACACCTCCTCCAGGACATCATTTGCATCAGTCCAACCACAAAGCTTTGCTGGAGCACATCAGAGTCTGGAGGGGTGGTCAATATAATTTTTGAGCCACTGAGATGGTCTGGAGTCCAATGAGACCCACAGTAGGATATAGGTTAGTGTTAGGGGATGCAAGAAAAGGATCCAAGGAGAGAAAAATCAATAGTGCATGAGTCAGTAGGGCCCAGCTAATCCATCTTTCATTAGCTTTAATTAATAAATCCCTGAACTCCAGTTTCTTCCTCGGCAGCATGGGGTGGCAATCATGGTCCAGCCCACTTACACCTATAAGGATCCAATGAAAAAAATGCATATTAGTATGGTCTAATGTTCTAAGCGTTCACTGTATTCTGGAAACTATACCATGTTCTTTGAGGACACAAGACCAGCTAGGCATGGTCTCTATCCCACAGGGAATCGGTGGCTTCCACGGAGGAGTTGATGTTACCTTAAGAATCAGAAGGGTCTGCATGTAAGAGAGTGGCAGGTGAGGAGAGGAGCCACTGTGGGAGTCAGTATGCATTCTTTGTGGAGGGTATAGAAAAAGGGGCCAAGAGATGTAGCCAGCTACTCTCTGATCTCTGGCAGAATTGAGGCAGGTCTAGAAGGGTCCCATCCACCACAAAGTCTATTCCTGCCTTTGCTCTTCTAGGCACAATGGTCTTGTACAACTGGGGACTGCTGTGAAGACTATGATCTTGAACCCTAGCTCCTCTACTCCCTAGTCAAATGACCCTTTTAAAGCTTCTGCTTTCTCCTTGTCAAATGAGGATCTATTTTGGTTATCCTATTTGCCTGCTGTCTGGTGGCTTAAGACAACAGTGAACCATGTGTTCCATTATCCTGTGATTAAGGTAGAGGTCAGCAAGAACAGCTCTTCCTTGTCCCGTGTGGTGTCACTTGGGCTGGACCACCCAAGAATGGCTTCTTCAGCTCACGCATGGGGTATCTCAGTTGTGTACCTGTTTTTTGCTCTCTGTGACCTCTCCAAGTAGCTAACTTGGATTCCCTTGTATTACAGTGATCTTATTACTGCAGTTGGTCTTCTGATGTGAGCACAAAACCGATCGGGCCTCCTGATAGCTCCCTTGGCTTAAAAGTTCCTGAAAAATAAAACAAAAGCAAAAGTCCCTGAACATTACTTATATCTTGGTCTATTAGTCAAAGCAATCACACGACCAGCCAGATTTAATGGGAAGAGAACTAAGCCCCAACTCTCGTCGAGGTCACATTGAGTAGGGTCACGTGGGATGGTGATAATTATTGCAGCTGCCTTTGGGAATGTGATCTATCCTGAGATCAGAATAGAATTTACCTCAGAAAGTCACTGAGATAACTAATTAGATAATGCATGTGAAGCCCTTAGCCCTGTGCCTGGCACAAGTGAGCAGTCAGAAAGTGACATCTGTTATTATTTATCATATAAAACTATAACCACCAACTCAAGGCCCCCAAGTTGGCACCATCAGTCACCTGGTCACCTCATTTAAACCCCATGCTTCTAACTGTTGAAACAAATGGAACAAGGACTCACACCAACCCAAGGACTTAGAGTAGTGGCATTCTGCCCATGCTCATGACCCAGGACAGGCTGGCTCAGTCTCCTGTGGGTTCCAATAGATCACAGTTCTTACTCCTGGGCCTTACAGCCAAAGTGAGGAGCACTGACTAAGAATAGAGGTAATCAACACTCAGATAGTTACTTCGTCCATTTATCCCCATCACTCCATCAAAACAAACTGTACACGCAAGGCACCCATCACTCGTTCAAGCCACAGACAGCTGTGCTTGCCAGACTTTCAACTCCCTTTGCCATTGTTTGTGTTGGAAGCCAGGCACCATGAGGCCTACTGTATGGTGTAGTCATCAGATCAGGAATGGAAAATTCAAGTGCACACACACAAAAAGCCATTCTCTTGCTTTCCAGAGGATTTTGCAATTCAAGAAAGTCCCTTCCAGTCTCCAGAGACCTGGGGAATGAAGTGCTTCTGTGGTCTCAAAGTGTTGCTGGTGCTAGCAGTATCTCTAGGGCTGGAAGAGCCACAGCAGCAGCCTGGTCACAGGTGCTTAGGCTCAAACATCTCTGAAGAACTAAGCACCTTCTCCTTCTGCCAGAATTTTGGGTATTTATGTGGAGGAGCTGTACACGGGCTCTAAACGTGGGACAGAAGCCCCATAGAACCCCTAATAGGGGTTCTCATGAGTACACCCTTGGGTAGTACACACACACCCTAAATCATCAAAGAAAAATATGAGCACATGGAGAGCTTACCTAGAACATGGGGAAAGGCTATTACAGACAATCCAGCGCTTTTGTGAAGTGTTTCTCGGAATTGCAGGTGTTACAGGTCCAGTGTCAACAAAATTCTATTTCCTGCACAAAGTAAAAAGGAGAAAACCCAAGGAGATGGGAACAAACAATTCTCAAAGTCTAGGCCACTTCTACATGGTCACTAGTGGAGAGGGATTCTCAGATCCCACCACTCAAATAGCAACCTGGGCCAGAAGCTGATCTACATTTATTTTCAGTGATCATATATTGCTTCCTAAAATGTACCTTGACAGGGATCTGACTCAACACTTGTATTCTATGGAATTAAGATTTAGGGGTTGGGGAGCTCCAGAGCCCATGTATTAAAAAGAAAAAAGAATGCTGGGCATAGTGGCATACACCTTTAATCCCAGCACTCGGGAGGCAGAGGCACATGGATCTCTGGGAGATGGAAGCCAGCTTGGTCCACATAGTGACTTCCAAGTGAGCTGGGATTAGGGAGACCCTATCAAAAAAGAAAGGAGAGAGAGAGAGAGAGAGAGAGAGAGAGAGAGAGAGAGAGGCTCTATCCCTATAATTCTAGCACTAGAGAGGGCTCACTAGCTGGCCAGCCACCCTAGCCTACTTGGTGAGTTCCAGGCCAGTGAGAGACCCTGACTCAAAAAAATATGTGGGCAATACCTGAGGAATGATACCTGAGGTTGTCCTCTGACTTCCACACACACACATACATGCATGTATACAGTCATATGCACACACACATATGAACACACACAAGATTTAGCTAATATGATGACTTTTGCTTAACAGCAGCCTTGATTCAAGATGGTGCCATAAACAAAAATCTTCCATTTGAATTACAATGTCCAAAAAGTATTTAAAAAAAAAAAAGCTTCTCCTGGAAGATAGAAACTTGACTTCACCAAGATTTTATTGAATCCAGATTCAAAAATACTTCGTTTTATGTGTTACATTAAAAAGCCAAATATGGGGGCTGGATACTTTTTGCAGAAGACCCAGGTTTGATTCCCAGCACCCACATGGTGGTTAACAACCATCCCTAACTCTAGTTCCAAGGGATCCTACACCCCCTTCTGACCCCTGTGGGCATTACATGACACAGGTGCACTTACATACATGAAGGCAATACACTCATACACACAAAATAAAAATAATAAATAAAAAATACATAAAAGCCAGATACTAAATTATAGGTCCACCATACCTAAAACTATTAAGCAATGTTAAACACAGATTTTTTTTATTCTTTATTGACCAGTCCTAGTTTTCAGAGCAGAGAATATAGGAAGATGTGAAGAAAGCATCCTAACTAATGGGGAGAGAGGTAAGTAGGATAATAAATGTAACCATGGCACAGGTGCCTTCATCCAGGAAACACTCATACACCAAGCATTTAGTCTGCACAAGTTCTTTCCTGAGCACTAAGGTTATAGAGAGTGGTTTCCTTCTAAGTCTCACCATCTGGTGAAACAGACATGTCCCTATGGTAAGTTCAAAGACATACATGTACTTGGGGGAAACACAGAGGAGCTCCTAACCCAACTTGGTGGTAGCAAGGACTAGGAGTGTCAGGAAGGCTTGCTAGAGAAGTGACCCCTGAGCTGTAACTTGGGGATGAACAGGATTGAGGCAGGGGAGGATGCTGGAAGGGACAGAGAGGAACAGTGAAGATCTAAGAAACAACATGAACCCAATAAGCTCCAAGGCCAGAAGTGCTGACACTACTGCAGAGTGGGAGGCGACATAGAGGGACATGGAGCCAGTCATAGGTGCTATGCTAGGGATCCTGGGGAGCCAGTGATGACATCAAAGCAGAGGAAATGCAAGCCCAGACCAAAAAACTATGGGTGCTGTGTGGACATGTAGGAAGGGCAGGCACTAACAGCAGGGAGATGAGCTCTTGCAAGAGGCCACTGAGCTGAGCCCAGGTGATAAGTGTCCAGACCATGGTGTCTGGAGAAGAAAGGAGGCAGGGAATATTAAAACATCACAGGACCTATCAGAGGCAGGGCTCAAAATCCACAAGGCACAGTGACGACTAGAAGGGAAAGAAGATCCAAGGTACATCTTCCCCCAATTCCTCCAGCTGAAGTACGGGAGAGGAGAGGCCGCAGGGTTCAAAAGGGAGCCAACAGCTCCGTTTGGGGGTCTCAGTATGTTATGTCTAGTAAAATTTTCAATAGCAGGTCCTTGGCTGGGAGAGAGGGCTGTGGAGAGGTACCAGTGTGGGAGTCATGGCCTGGGAGCACTGATAACATCCTGAGTGAGGGGCCGTCAGAGTGCAAACCTGGAATCGCTGCTTCAAGAAGCTCCGACTCTGGATGGGGCAGCAGGAACCCACCAAGAAGAAGCAGAGAGTCAGGCCTGGCAAAGACGTAATTCTGAAACACCAAAGAAAACTGCTGAGTGTGAAGGCTAAACACATCCATTCCAGCTCTGCCGTGGCCATTCCCTCTGTCCCATCACAACATTAATGAAGCAGACCCTCACTTCCTAGGGACGAATCCTCATTCTTCCACAGAGCCACTAAGGCTGACCTCGGTCCCCATAACTGGCAGCATTATTGTCCCAGAAGAATGGACAGGCCAGGTCAATACCAAACTTCCAACCTCAAGGGCCCAGCCCATTAACCTTGGATTTGAGCCAAGTTCACTCTTTTGTAGAAACGAGGTCTGGAGAACACCTTGCATGATGCCAACCACTGGCACGACATGGAGCTGCAGAACCTGGTGCTGTGGTGGGCAGGCTGGAGGCAGAGCTGGCAGAGATTTGCTCAGAGGCTGAGCAGCAGCAGCAGGAGCGGGAACACCTGCTGGTATGCAAAGGCCAGCTGCAGAAGGACGTGGCATCCTACCATGCCCTGTTAGACCAGGAGGAGAGCAGGTATGCCTTGGTTCCTCTTTAGTGCTTACCTAGCATGCACAAAGACCTGGGGTCAATCCCCAGCACGCATAGAACTAGGCATGATGGCACATGCTTATAATCCCAGCACTCTACTTGGGAGATAGAGGCAGGAAGATCAGAAGTTCAAGGTCATCCTGGGCTACACAAGACTGTGTATCAAAGAAAAAAGAAAAAAGAGTGCATATGCTTAAGTTTAATTTTTTCCAAACACTATAGAAATAATTAATATAAAAAGAACTCATTCCCAAAAGTCCCCCACCCATCCCCACAGCCTATGTCCTCGTCACATTCAAACAATATGTAACATGTACATAGATATTGTGTATATATATATATATTACAGATATAATATGATTTTAGATTTTCTTTTTTGAGACAGGGTCTCACTATGTAGCCCTGGCTGACCTGAATTCAACTCACTGTAGACCAAGCTGGCCTTGATCTCACAGAGATCCACCTGCTTCTGCCTCCCGAGTGCTGGGACTAAAGGGGTGCACCACCACACTTGACCAATATGATGTTACATGTACATATACACACATGCACATACTTGGAAAATGCATGACATCCATCAGGAACCCTTCCTCTGCACAAAACAGGACCTAATTAATGGAACTATGAAGAAATCCCTCTAAAACTTTAATGTTTCAAAACATCTGCTTTTTTAAAATGCAAATTCTGCCTCAGTAGGCACAGGATGGAGCCTGAGATTATTTCTCTGGTGATACCTACACCACTGGTCCACAGACCACACTTTGAGTAGGGACAGCATAAATAGATTATATTTATCTCAGTCTCAGGAGTAGGTGATCTAGGTGATCTACTCAGTGATTTTGTTCAGCACCCAGCTCCTTTCACCTTCCTAGCATGCCACAACATATTGGATTTTTTGGTCATCTTTTATCACCCTGTGGTTGCCAAATGCCTCTGCAACATCTTCATTCATGGCCAGAAGAGGGAGGGAAGAGAGAGCAGCAAAAAGTCTTCTTTGAGGGACTCTCAAGCATCTTGAGGAGGCTTCCGGTTGACTTTCTTGCATATCATTGACCATACCTGCCCACAGGGATGCTGAGAAAACAACTCTTGGTTATTTTGGACTCCACAGGACTCCAGAGAGGCAAGCAAGGAATTAGAGCCTGGCCAACCACATCTGCCAAAATGACACAACCAGGCACAGCTACAGATGAATTTGAAAGTATATATGCAGTCTTTAATCAATAGGCTCATCCAGAGGCAAATGCATCAGCCTTAGGGCTTAGCTTCATTCTAGAGTCTTTCTAGAAACCTAGATCTTTATTTTTCATCAGTTTTCTGTATCTTCATACCTCCCTCCAAGGTCCCTTCTATAGTACATTGAATAAAAAATAGGCCATCAGCTCTAAAAGACAACTTGGGGAGGGAGCAGTTGGTGAGATGGCTCAGCAGGTAAAGGCGCTTACCACACAAACCTGAAAATCTGAGTCCAATCCCCAGAATCTACATAAAGTTGAAAGGAGAGAACTGACTCCACACAACGTTGGCCTCTCACTTCCACACATGCACTATGTCATTATTTATTATTATTCTAATAATTTTTTAAAAGACAGCATAGGGGTCATATAGTCTTAAACCCTCCCAACTCAAGAGAGGGAATGTAAAAACCCAGGTGGAAAAGGATCTGTCCATGGTCACTCAAGGAGTTAAGGCAGCACTGGAACTGGAGTCTCAGCCTCCTGACCCTCTCCCAAAGCATAGCACCCCTTTGCTGGAAAACAAAACCAGAGAGCCACCTGGAAACCTTCCAACCTTTCAAGTAGGAGACATTATCTCTCTCCTTTCCAACCAGTTGTCTTTTCATCAACTTGCTTTCTGTGGAGTATAAAAACCAGATGTTCCTAACAAAATTAGGAATCTTTGAGATTCCTATGCACATCTGAGCAAATATACAAAGTCATTTTAAATAAACAGAGGAGTAAGTGAAGTGGAATGTACTTCAAGACATAAGCACCGTTGTGTGAGCAGATGCTCTGCGGAAGTATGGTCCTAATCTCTGGCTACATCCATTCCTTCCCACGCCCCACAACTATCTCACCATCCCCAGTCACCGACAGGAAACACGTCCCAGAGTTCGGAAGCTGTTTGTCCAGAATCCATGACACCATGGTGATTTAAAACTTGGCACTGTCTTGTTCCAAAAGTCAAAGTCTCTCTTATGAGACAGCTGCCATTCCTGTGATCTTGCTGTGATCTCCTTACTGATGGCCCTCCCCCTCTGCTGCTTCTGAATGCCATGTATTTTTTTTCAGCTAATGAAACAAACAAACAAACAAAAAAAAAAACCAACTTCCTCTTTTCACAAAGAAAATTCTACCTTCTTCATGGCCCACGAGTGACATTGCTTGAGGAATTTCAGTCCCTGCTGGATTCCCTAGTTGATTCAGCTGGAGCTGGAAAGCTTGCTGGGAGTGGAGAGAATCCTTCTGCTTTCATTGAAGTGGTCTGTAGCTTGAGTAACCCCCCCTTGACTTCACCCAATAAATGCCTTGAGTGCGGCTTCCAGGTTGTGTTTAACTCTGTTGGATGGAGATGATATCACTTTAGCTGCATATCTCGGGGCCCTTTAGGGGTTTTGTTGGTACTGTACTTATGTGTTTGTTATATTTATTATTTATTTATTTTTATTTTATGTGTATGAGTGTATTGCCTGCATGCGTGTAAGTGCACCATGTCATGTAGTGCCCTCAGAGGACAGAAGGACATCGGATCCCCTGGAACTGGAGTTAAGAGTGGTTGCTAGTTGTCATGTGGGTCTAGGATTTGAGCCCAGGTCTTCTACAAGAACAACCAGTGCTCTCAACCGCTGAGCCATCTCTCCAGTCCTGTGTTTGCTATATTGTTTTGTTAGTACTGGGGATGAACCCCTCACGCATGCTAAGCATGCACCCTACCACTTAACCATACACTCTACACCCCCATAGCAAGAAGCCATTCTTGAATATTTCTGGAAGGGTCTTTGAGTGAGACCCTCTGTCTTACCTTACTCTAGGGTCAACTGTTTGGGGGTTTAGCAACATACAAGTGCTGGTCGTGTGTCGGCGACACAGGCACCCAAACACTTATTGGAGCAGGGATCAGCCTAGTGCTTTATTGCATGCACCATAATTACAGCCATTACAGAGCATCCAGACCTCATGAATTCACTCTGAATGCATATTTATGTGCACACACATTTTATTTGCCCTTGGCAGAGAGCACCTCTCCATCAGTTCAAAGGGAGTGACAGTTTCAGCCCACGGGGGACTAATTAGGCTGTGGTTGCTCACCCTACTTGCAGGCCTCAAAACTTCCTTCCAGGGTCCTCTCAGCGTCCCTCTCAGGGCTTGGGCCAGCCAAATATAGTACGTGCATCTGCCGCCTACGCAGCAAAGACGCTCTTGCCTTCTGATTAAAACTGAAACCACCACCTGTGTCCTACCGTGGGCTCTCAGTGCATCTAAACACACACACACACACACACACACACACACACACACACACACACAAAGAAAAGAAATACTTCAGTTTCTATCCGTCTATCTTTTACACAGAATTAGACCAAGAAATCCAAGCTGAATTTCTGGCCCCTTTGTAAGCTGCTCACTCAAGCAGAGGGATGCATCCAGTGTCAGAGCATTTGAAAACCTCTATACCTAACATTCCAAATAGCTAAAGACTGTCAGATAAATGAAACCTTGTTTATCTTAAATATATATATATATGAAGGAAAGCAAGGTAAGAGATTTCCTGGTTGGAATTGCTTCAATTGGATTTCCCTGCTGGCCTGCAAAATCAAAGGAATTGTATTCATGAGTCTCTCAGTAAAACGGCTACTTATACTTTGCACAGTACCTTTACACAATTGAGCTTATTGTTTGAGGAACAGAAACAGGCAAGACTCCACTCACACTCCATTTCAGCAAAGTGTCCATTTCCCCTGTAGCTACATGATACAGGGCCACCCATAATTGAACCACCTGGGTACAAGAGCCACGCAAGAGGACAGTGCAGCTGTCCTAGCTTTGTTGGATGCTCTGGGTACTTGGGTATGTTTCTTTTATTTATTTCTTATTACCATTAATTATTGCCTCTGAGCCAAGACCTCAGTCCCCAAGCTCAACACAGCCTGCAGTCTGGATCTGATGCGTTTTGCAAACCCTGGAAAGCAGTTCATCCAGTGGAGGCAGGGATAATGGGTGTGCACGCTCTCAGAGTTTCCCCGGAAGCACACTGAGCGGGGCTGCACACCTCAGGCTCTTCACAGTATCAGCTCAGAGAGCAGGTGGCTTAAGTCAGTCAGCTAATCACCTTTTGGTGAGCCAAGGCCAACTCACCCAGCACTGGTTCCTGCTGCTTCTAATGAGGCTTCATTAGCAGGTATGAAGAGACCCTGCTGGCCTCCAGAATGCTGCCAGCACTGTATTTAAGTCAGGCTCCCTCTCGAAATATCACAGTACAATTACCCATTGGCAGTGGCTCCCTGACAGGTGGCGGGGGAGGCTGTTGCTGGTGGTGGGGACAAGGGCAGAACATTTGTTCTGGAGTACATGGGCAAAGGGTTTCCACTAGGCTCCTCCTAAGCACAGTAGAGCTCTCTTTCCACACCAGGCAGTTCCACCAGCCTCTGGCCTCATTTCTGAAAACACTGTTTGGAAGCCCAATGAGACTGCCTGATCATCCATTAGCTTTGAGACTCCACATCCCTTTAAACCAAGGTCCTTAAATTTTACTTTCAAGATCATCTGTTATACTTTTGAGCATATACTGGTGCTCAAATATTTTGTTTAACACTTTAAAGTTTCCAATAAAAAGAAGTTTCTATCCTTACGGGTTTACAGTCTTGGTGGAGAATCTAGATGTGCATATAAAGAAGTCAGCAAAGCGGGGCTGGAGAAATGGCTCAGTGGTTAAGAGCATATATTGTTCTTGCAGAGAACCCAAGATCAATTCATAGCACCCGTGTCTGGTGATTCACAATGGCCTGTA